CCCCCATCGAAATACACGACTAAGCTGATAAGTGATCGCGAGAGGCAACACCAACGCGCATGCGCAACCGTACGACACATATCACCACAGATGCACATACTACCTAAACTCAACAATGACATCAAGAAGCCAACAATTCACACGCAACACTTCAAAGTAGTGCCATTGTGCGATGTATGGGATCACCTACCAGCAGACACGAAGACAGTCTGGCCTTCCTTTGGCTCTAGCACATCGATGAAACCTCCGTACGCAGTGGAGCCAGGCATTCCAAGTGCTCCAATACCCTGAAAAGTATAAAATAGAGGGCAAAGTAAGCCTTCTAATGTCCACAATAACGAAGAACTAATCGAACAGACGAACCAAGCGGAAAATTAACCAAGCCATGAAGACATACAATGCACTAAACGTTTTGACAGTGATACTGACAGAACATGCGATCTCAGAGACAACGCGTGTACGAGGGCCTTCGAAGTACGGCCGCACAGATAGCGATTAAGTATGAGAGCAGTGCAGCAACGTTATGAAACATACCTGAGATAAATTCTCCTCGCCAATGTATTTGGAAAGATTCCACAGGCCTGCTACCGCCTTTGCTGGTACAACTTGTACGGTAGACAGGGGCAGACTTCCACCGAACAGATCTCCTACTATCCAGTTTTCATTGCGGGAGGCGATAATCTGTCAAGCAAGAATTCGATGATGTACAAGCGCAATGAGATATAGCTGCTAACGATTCCAAAGATGATATTTATCATCTTACTCATTCAATATTGCGAGTGTTGGAAATGCATGCACAAGTGACTCAAATCTCTTATTATTACACGCACAGCTGAATAAAGACACAGCTGAATACATATACATATACATATATGTATACCTATATGTATATATATTCAGACGTTTTATATGAATATGTCAATGTATTCATACATATATACATCAACATCAGACTCCGCACATACACATAGACACACACAAATACGTATAAATGAATTATATATATATATATACGCTAGGGTACAGTAATGTATACATTTGCATACGTGTACATACATGCATACAGGCATGCATATATATATATATATATATATATATATATATATATATTAAGTTTTAGTTTTGTTCGTTATAGTAGTAAGTTCGTGTACGTACTAC